AATTGTACAGAGAGAGGTGCTATCAAAGCCAAGAGAGAGAGGAGACAGTTTCCAGAAGGGGAAGGGCAGTGCCAGTTAAGAAAAGGTCATGCCCTTCCACTGGACAGTGGTCCAGGGCTATGGAAAACAGCTCACGGGTGGAAAAATAGAAATGCCCTGTAAACATGAAAACACACTTTCCGTACTTGAAGATAAAAGTTGAAATATTTTTGCTTATTAGCTTGACAAAATCTTTATAAAGATTAACAGTTTCCATGCTTGGCAGGGGTATAGGGAGACATACTCATGCTTAAAGTTGTAACAGCTTTGCAGGACAATTAAGCAGTATCTTAAATTTAAATTGCAAATGCCCTTTAACCTAGCAATTCCATTTCTAGGTCTCTGTGCTAAAGACATAGTCACATCTGCACAAAATGATTACAATAATGTTCAGCATGTCTGTTAATATTGAAAAATCAGAACCTAACTGGCCATCGATAGGGAAATGTTTAAACTGGTACATCTGTATTTTTGGAATTTTATGTAGCAGTTCAGAAGAACATGGAGAAGCCTTCCAGGTATTGTCAACTTTACAAAACATATAGAATATTACCCCATCTATGTAAATACAGAAAAACAATATTGCCATTGATACATTTATGTGTTTGTGTAAAAACTCGTTTTTTAAAGCTCTGGAAGAACACATAGCGAACTGATAACTGGTTTCGTCTGAGGGGAGGGGCAAGGGCAGAGTGGAGTGGAGAGAAAGTTCTGTGCCTTTGACTTTTGTGAATACACTTAAGTAATTTTTTTTTTTTAAGATTTATTTGAGAGAGAGAGTGAGAGATAGAGAGCACGAGAGGGAAGAGGGTCAGAGGGAGAAGCAGACCCCCTGCTGAGCAGGGAGCCCGATGCAGGACTCGATCCTGGGACTCCAGGATCATGACCTGAGCCAAAGGCAGTCGCTTAACCAACTCAGCCACCCAGGCGCCCTACACTTATGTAATTTTTCGAGGGGATGATTAACATGGAGAGGTCAGGTGAGAAGGACTTGAGGGGGTTTTTTGGACTCAGCAAGTAGGAGATAATTTTGAGCAATTTCGAGGATGGTAAATGCAAGGGGTTATTCACCCTTGGATTGAGAATGAATGACTAGTGAGGAAAGTGAATAAATTAAAGCTTCTGTTTTAAGCAGCTTGCTTTAGAAAGGAAATAGTAGCTAAATGGGGGGTTGGGATACAAGCTGATAAAAGATTTTTAAGCAGATTAGGGGAAGAAAGCACATGCATATGTTAGGCTTGGAGACAGTGCTGGGACGGCAGGGGAGAGTTACGGAAAGGGTTCCCGCAGAGGTAAAGGACATGGGGAATATTGATAGATCCAGATACCAATAAGCTCGAGGGGAAGAGGTATGTCAGAAAGTGGAAGGAAGGCGTAATAGTGGCTTCTTGGCCAAGAGCAAAAAACAAGGAAGGGGTGAAAATGCCATTGACGGGAATGATGGCATGACAGAGGACTTGATGGGATATTTGGAGGGATTGCCGGAGAGGCTCTGGCAGTGGATACCATGAATTTGAAATGGGACCAGTCTTTTATTTTTTATTTTTTTAAAGATTTTACTGATTTGAGAGAGAAAGGGGTGAGGGGCAGAGAGAGAAGCAGAATCCCCGCTGAATAGGGAGCCTGACTTAGGGTCCCTGAGCTGCCTGAGCTGAAGGCAGACGCTTAGCTGACTGAGCCACCCACACACCCCGGGACCAGTCCTTTAAAAGTAGTATAGAAAAGTTGGTAGTTAGACCAGTTCAAGGTTAGAGTTTTGCAGAGAAAGAACAAGGGCGAACAACTGGAGTGATGTAAATGATTGACTCTATTCGCAGGAACTGGCAGACTGCAGCCTGTGGGCCAAATCTATCTTCCCATCTGTTTTTGTAAATAGTTTAATGTTGACAACCACATCCTTTCATTCCAGCGTTGTCTGGCAGCTTTCACACTCCAGTGACGTAGTTGAGTGGTTCTGACAGAAACTGTGTTCCTGGAAAAGCTGAAACCATTTACTCTCTGGCCCTTTACTGAAAAGGTTTGCTTACTTTCACTGCCCCTCAGGAGTGAAGCCCGCGCGGGTGCGCATGGAGTCAGCCCAGGAGTCCTCGTGAAGTCAGCCAGCGGGGAGCCAGTTGACAGAAGAGAAGGACATTTAGAAAAGCTTAGGAGTAGAGGACTCCTGAGACCACCTGGATCTCGGGGGGTTCACTTAGGGGAGGGGACGGAGTGGTGGAGTGGAGGCTGAAGCTCATCAGAGTTCAAGTTGAGGAGCGTCAGGAGTGTTGGAGGACGTAACGAGGAAGCGGAAGGAAGCCTGTAGGCGACATCTGACAGGTCCCCTGCCGACATAAAGAGCTCGGTCCCCTTACGGAAGGGCGCTGTGTAGCTGTTCACCTGGCCCGCATCTGTTACCGCAGCGGTATTCCCAGTGGCTGGTACAGCGGCGAGAATGTCCGCACACTAGGTTACCGTCTGCTCATTGCAGTTGAGTCTGCTGAGCGGGAACCCTTGCGCGGACGTGCAGCTGTGTGTACACGGCATCCATTTCTTCTTTATGCAGAGGTGGAAAGAATATCACTGGATTTCTAAATCTACTTTTAATCTTGTTCCTTTTCACTATAGGTATATGAAAATTATCCTGCTTATGATTTAACTGAAAGAAAAGATTTCATAAAAACAACTGTTAAAGAGGTAAATATGTCCACCTTTTCTAATTTTGGTCATTTTGAACATCTAAGACAAAGGAATGATGTCTATCAAATATTGCATACGTTTCAAAATACTCATGTCACCAAATATATCACGTTTGACCCTCAACTTTTCTCAAAATAGATGGGGAAAATATTTTTCCTTCCCATTGTAAAGCTTAGAAGTACAGTGTGAACAGTAGTGACGAGACGAACGGACCGCAGCGGACCTCAGGCCTGCAAGGTCCACAGGCAGCTGGGTGCGTCCCGGCCACTCTCATAGCGAGCACAGTCGCTGTGCACCAGAGCAGATCAACAGTAGCTAGAGTTTGCTATTGGTCCCAACAGATTTCCCAAGGTTGCAGTGGTAAAAAACAATATAAAAAGTGGGGGGGAGGTTATGGTTTTTGTGTTCCTAACGTATCTTCAGTATAGGAAAATGATGTTTCTCTTGTTGCAGCTGATTTCTTGAGGCAGAGGAGACATGACTTGTCCCGTGGATGTAAAGATCTGATTTATACCATTATACCAGCAAAGAGAATGTATTTCCTTTTCTAAATCCCTGCAAGCATTGTATTGGTAGAACTTATTGCTGATCTTTTTATCTTAAGTAAATTTGAGTTTGTTGTTTTAAATTGCATTTCTATGCAGTTTTTAGTTTAAAATTTTGCATGGCAGTAACTGTTCCTTGCTTTTATAGTTGTATTTTGTACATTTTGGATTTCTTTATATGAGATCATAGATTCTCAAACTGTCGTAGTTTTTAGCGCGCTTAGTATTCACTTGTTTCGGAAAGAACTTTTAATCAAGTAGAACAAACTATTACTGACATTTATACATGCAGAGACTAAGGCAGTATTTAGTACACGAAATATTTTGAATACACATCTGTCAGTGGCAGTGTGTTCATCATATTAAAAATATACAGGCTTCAGCTATTGAGATTAAATTGGAAATTTTCTGCATGTGTATATATGTCAAATTGTCAGCATGACAAAAGTGACAGATGTTATTTTTGTATTTTTAAAAACAAATTTGTTGTATATAAAGTTTTTTTATTTCTTTTGTGCAGATCAATTTTTAAACTCTAGGTAGGTATCTTTACAGTTAAACTATGAAATGTCAGTGTTCAGCCAGATGGTATGACGGAGCAGTGAAAGTAAGAATTCAGTGGAGAAAACACTGAAGGAACAGATCGTTCTCTGCTTTGCCTCAGAAGTGTCATCAATTTGTAGTTTTAGTGTTAACTCTGCAAGTGTCTGTAGATACATTTTATATTAGGGATCAACCAAATCAGTACATCAGAACTTCAAAATTTGGGGACAGGGTGGGATTGAGTACAAGCACATTTGGCTTATAATAAGTGAACTGATTTTTATTAACTGCTTTTGCCCATATAAAATGCTGATATTTACAGGAAACCGGGCCACCTTTATAATTATGATAAATGTATGGAGTACAGTGCTAGAAGATAATGTGTCTGACAAAGTATTTCTCAAAAGTGATAAAAGACTTATTTTTAACATTAAAGAAGTTTAATGTACTTGTGGAATCAGGGCTTTTGGGTTTTAAATTTTGGCCAATCAGGATTCTAGGTGATCAAACAGATCACTCCTGAATGAGACTATTTTTCTCTCTTAAGTTGTCTTAATCAGTTTATTGAATAATCTCTGAATTTTAAAATAAAACAATGCTACTTACGAGAGAATTAGGCCTTTGATAAACCAGTTGAGTGTTTAAAATAAAAATCCATCCATAGAAATACATAAAAATGGTATGTGTTGACTGTTTAAAAAACCTAACAGGTTTGACTTGTTTGATAAATACAAATGAATGGAGTAAACAACTAAATGAGACCTAAGAATTGGCCTTTGATTTTAAATATTTAATTTGTTCCTATAAACCTTGTCAATAAAAATAATAAATCCATGCTCTTGTCTCTTGCATTAATGTCTTACGGTTCCTGTAGCAACCCCCCCCCCCCCAGCTGTGGATTTCAGAACAGGGGTTTTTTAGGTGGATTTAGCCCCACGACCCATTTATTTTGGAGTGCCATTCAGTGATAACGGACCACGTTCACATTGTATGGAGAGGTCACGAAGGAAAACTGGGAAGTGATCTCATAGAAGGTGGGTGATTATGGTTAACAATTGTTTATGATCATTTACTTGAAAGGGGGTGAGCAAAATCTACAGAAGGTTTGGAGGAGAGGGGACTGCTGGTGGGTGCTTGCAAGTTCGTGGGTAAGGTGTAGCTAATACGAGTGCGCTCATCACTACAGTGCACAGTGTATTTGAAAAACAAGTCTAGTTTTTATTAAGCAGTTTTACACAACCAGCTTGTTCACAATCTGCAGTTAAAACACTGTATTCACTGCTATTCAATTACAGAATCTTCAAACAGTGAAAAACAAACTCAAGAAAAGTACCGTGGTTCCTTAACGAACAAAAAGTCAAATGAGTCACTTGAGACAGGAAATTTTTTACGTACATACTTGCTGTACTGTACTTGAGCTAACTAGGTTTTTCCGCAGTTTGCTTCTAAGCACAGTACAAGTTTAAGTGCCCAGAAACTAAACAATCATGAGCCATTTCAAACTTAAAATATTTTGCGTTTATCACTGAACACATGCTATTCTTTAAACATTTTAAAACATAGCATTTTAAAGCAGAATACTTCCCAATCAGTACCAATGAGTCTCATCAGATAATCTAAATATCAACATTTTCCTGGGTTAACCCAACTTTGAAACCAATTTACGGCTGTTGCCTTTTCTGTGTATCATACTTTGATGGGGAGGGAATGTGTCTAAATTCTGTCTAAAGTTTGCATAAAATACTATTTCTACTTAGAAGATGACTTTAAATTTTAAAAATACCTAATATTTTGCAACGTGTCTTTAAAGTCATTTTGAGTCCCTTTTTGAAGCAGACTAATATAATTGAAAGAACTGTTCACACTTTTTAAAACAAAAGCACTTAAGTTACCATCCACTTTTCTAACTTCTTGGCAAGATAAGCATCCTGAAGACCCTGAAACCAGTGTTTATTTTAATTGAATTATTTTGTCATGAGTGAAAAAAGGAAAAAGTATCTGCCATGTTCTCAGGCTTTTAAGATATGGCTTTAAATGAGTAATATTTACCAGGATATCCCATTTTTCTGCAGTTTTCCAGTGGACCTGCCTATGGAATACTGAAAACATAATGCTGTAAAAAATACTCCTAAAGTCTGAATCTGTTATTTTAAAAAGCAGTAGAGGGAGTTTCTTACTAAAGTATTCTGACAAGAAAGATCTTTTTGCTAGTGGGTGCCAAAATTAAGGCTCTTTAAAGTGTGCCATCCACCCAAACTTGGCTCTTAGAAAAATAGCCATATTCTAAATGGTCTAAAGTATGAAGACTAGACTATCTCTACCCCATTCTTAATGACAGAATACCTATGCTGTTTAAGGAATTGAAAATGTTGTTTTGCCAATGAGTGCACAAATCTAAAATGTATCACAAAAGATACCTGAATTTAAATTTTTGAATAACCCAATGGAAAGAAATATGTACAATATAAAATAGTCTAGAAGTTTCATTTACTTTTAACTGAAGTTTGTGCTGTATCCGAAATGGACAGATTCTTATCTAAATTTTAAGTAAAAGTTCAATATTGGAGCTATAGAAAAGTCTTAAGGCTCACTGGCAAAGATACTGATAAACTGTCACAGAAGAAAAATACATGGCTTTATCTGGTTTTTTAGCAATTGCTGCTTGGTTTCTCAATGTTTGAAAACTGATGAGCCCAACAAAATATCAAATTTAAAGGGAGTCTCCAACCATGGAAGAAATCCAATCCAAAATCTTAATTTAAGGTTCTGTTCTGCCTTATTCTGAAATACAGAGGACTTAGCCCTAATCAGCCTGTGGAAAAAGCAATTAAATATAAGTGCTTCAAACGGATTCTTGGGGCTAAGAATGCTCTCAGAGAAGGTTTTTTTGTTTGGTTTTATGAAAGTGAGGTTTAACATGTGTTTCAAACTTTACCATTTGGGACACAGAAGAAAGCTGGGTCCAGACAAATTCTACTCAAAATGCTGCGATCTTGCTTGCTTCTCGAACACCACTCAAATATGCCCCTGTAACAGTTTGTGGAAAATGCCTGTTTGTTGCCTGTAAGAGATAATTGCACAATTTGAGTTCATGTCTAAGGAACTCAGATGATAATCAACAGAATACAAGCATAAACTTTCTTTGATCCTCAAAGACGGAGGGCACTTTGTGCTCCTATGAACACTACTCCCCCATCACTGCCCCTGAACTTCTTTGGTTATCCCACCATACCGCACCAGATCATTCCACAACTTACTCTGCAGTCCTGTGAAGTACTGTGTGCTGATCCTTAAGCTATGACCTCTCTATACCACGTACTGGAACTAATAATGAATAAGGCACAGTCCCTGCCCCACCCCCATCAGACAAATAATCTCACTGTTAGAATCAGTGATGAGGGAGGCACCGAACATGAACCAATCCACCCACAGTGGGAGTTGCGCTAGATGGCTGGAACAGAAGGACAGAGGGGAGTTGCTTCCAGGAGGCTGTAGCTGGAAGAGAACCAGCAAGCCAGGACAGGAAGAAAAGAATCCTGATCTATGCCTTCGGGGGTGGGAGCAATGACCAGGTCTGGGATGTAGCTGTGGGGAAGAGCCGCTGACATGGTGGTTAAGCAGACCTCAGAAGATGGGGAAGGATGTGAAACAGGAAGCTCCGTGTGAACCAAGCTATGTGCCACATCACCTAGATCGATGGCTGGGATGGAGAGAAGACGTCCGGCGCCAAAGAATTCAATAAATGGAGGCATCATGATCAGGAGGCAAGGATGCAAGTACTAGCAGGGAAAGAGGGGCAGAAACCTCACAGAAATGGGTTTAAACTTTTTCTCTGTGAGGTAACTATCACACGAGCCTAAAAGAGCTTCTGGAAGCAGCTGATAGTTGCTGCCCGGCATGCAGTCATGCTCTGTTCCCACGGAGCTGGCTCTCTGCAGGCCAAGGACGAATCTAAGCCAGCTTATTTTAAATGACCTTTTGTAATCCTCCAAAAGTCAGGAAGAGAAAAGGTAACACCAACTCCCATTTTCAGTGACACTAGAAGACAAGTGTGGTCCCTGAGCTAACATACAAAGTATGAAAACAGACGAAAGAGTGCTGACAATTTCCTTCACTCTGCTACATTTGGGAAGGGGAGTGGGGTGGGGGGACCAAAAGCAACCAATTCACCCCCAAAGCATCATTTAAAAATCTCAGCCACTGGGGGCATCAAGAACCCCAGAGGCAGAGGTCGGGCATGAGTGAAAACAGGACTGAAGGCTACGGAGAGCAATCTGGTCCCTCACCAGGTTCCCCGCTCCCACTGCCACCACCCACCCAGAGATCTGAGGAGGCAAGGGTGAGGCACCCAACAATACGGGGATTAAGGCAAAGCTTCCGGCTCCCAGAATGTCAGGAGCTGCCACCAAACAAATTACATGTTCCCAGAGGAAAGAGCTACAGAGCTACAGATACACAGACGTTTGGGGATCCGACCACCCACTGGCAAGCTTGCAGGAGCTTTCAGCAGGCTTTTATAAGAACGCCTTGCTCAAATCTAAGACGGTCAAGGATGGGATATTTGGACATGTGGGAGGCAGAGGCTAAAGGAAACAAAACAAAAACTCAGGAGTCATGAAGCAAGAAAAGGATGCTACAAGAATAATCCGAGGCCAAGAACATGCTCATAAAAGAGCCAAAATTTCCAAAGTCAATTCAAGGGTGGGAAGATGAATCTCCCACCACAACAATAGGCTAAGACAGAGGTGAGTAAGAGCAAAGAGAAGCAAATCAGATAACTCAGGAGTTCCAATATATGCAATAGATCTAGAAATAAGGAAAAATGTAGGGAGAAAATGATCAGAAGTGAAAAAAACAAAGACTGAAGGATATGAGCATCTAGATAACAGAAGCAAAAACAGGCACAGAAAAAATTAGTGATCAAAACAGCATAACATTTCTCAACAGAAATAAATCAAGAAAGAAGGCAGGCCACTTCACACCCATTACGATGGCATTAAAAAACCCCAGAAAATCATGGAGCCCCTGCGTGGCTCGGTTGGTTGAATGTCCGACTCTTTGATTTGGGCTCAGGTCATGACCTCAGGGTCGTGAGATTGAACCAAGCATTGGGTTCCCCCGCTCAACAGAGTCGGCTTGAGATTCTCTCTCCCTCTGCCCCCCCCACCCCCACACACACACTTTCTAAAATAGTAATAAATCAATCTTAAAACAATCTCAAGTGTTGGAACCTCTGTGACTGCTGGTGGGAGTGTAAAATGATGCCGCTGCTATAGGAAGCAGTGTAGTGGTTCTTCAAAGAATTAAGCGTAGAATTAATACATGATCCAGCAATGCCTCTTCTGGGTATATACCCCAGAGAACCCAAAGCAGGTTCTTGAAGACACAGGTACACCCATGTTCACAGCAGCATTACTCACAACAGCCAAAAGGTGGAAGCAACTCAAGCGTCCAGGACATGAATGCATATGCGAAATGTCATCTATAGGGCGCTGGGGGGCTCAGTTGGTGAAGTGTCTGCCTTCGGCTCAGGTCACGATCTCAGGGTCCCAGGATGGAGTCCCGCATTGGGCTCCCTGCTCGGCGGGAAGCCTGCTTCTCCCTCTCCCTATCCCTGCTCGTGATCCCTCTCTTGCTCTCTCAAATAAGTAAAATATTTAAAAAAAAGAAATGAGATCTATACACGTGGTGGAATACATTTAGTCTTCAAAAGGAAGGATATTCTGACACGTGCCACAACGTGGATGAACCTTAAGGACATTCTGAGTGAAATAAGCCAGTCGCGAAAGGACAAGCACTGCAGGATCCTCATCCTGGGAGGAAGAGGCGCCCAGAACAAACCCACAGATGGAAGGTGGAGAAGGTGGGAGCTGGGGGCTGGGAGAGGGGGCTCGGGCGGTGTTGCTTCACTGGGACCGAGTTTCAGTTTCGCAGGATGAGGAAGTTCTGGAGATGGTGGTGATGGGGGTACGGCAAACGTCATTGTATATGATGCCACTGAGCTATACACCTAAAAACAGTCAAGATGGTCAAAGCCTCGTTCTAGATGGAAACAGGCACTGTCGTTGATGGTGTCTGGATACCGTGACTGTGGCTACACCGGGACACAGGGGCGCTTCCATCCCAGCAAGTGTACTGCAGGGGTGACCACGAGACCCCTAACGGTCTCTGCGAGGCTCATGCAGTACAGAGGAAGTAACGAGACCCTTCAAATATTTGAAACAATTAAGGAAAAATAATTTTAGAGCATTTGCCAAAACAGCACTCCAGGTACTTCCTACGTTTGACTTCTCGGGCCCTAACGTAAAGAAACTGGATCCCAAAGATTACAGGTGGGGAGTCTGTGAAGTCTGTCCATGTTCAAGTGGAGATCAGAGTAGCCCAGCCATAAGAACCGTGGGCTGACCGACCGTGACAACCACCGACGGAACAAAAGTTCTTTACCGACTTGAAAATAGTTAACGAGGGTAAATCGTATGTCATGTGTAATTTACCACAACTGAAAAAATACATTTAAAAAAAAAAAAAAGAGAGAGAGAGGGATGTAGGAAATAAAAACGCCAACCCCGGAGGAGGGGTAAGGGGTCCCGAAGGTCAGCCAGCGCAGCCCAGTGCAGCCCAGAGCAGGAAGGCGCCGGGAAGGGGGTTTCAAGAAGTGGAGCGAACACGCCAGCTCCCGGGCACCCCAGGAGCTGCGGGGCAGGCCGCAGGTGGGGCTGAGGAGTGCGGGGGGCCGTGACGACTGTCTGGAAAGCCGCGCGAGCGGTCGGGGACGCCTTGGCTCTGCAGGAAGCCGCACCACAGGTGCTCCGCTGCCCCTCTCGGGTGAAACCGCCACACTACACAGGCCAAATCTTCAAGCTGAGGAAGCCAGCAGCCAAGGTCCGCCGTGTCAAATCAAAGGCAGCAAGAGAAATGTCGGAAAACAGGAAGCAAATTCCTGAAGAAACGACAGGCTTAAAAATGGCTGTCCTGGGATCGTGAGGTGGTGTCTGGTGTCATGATGCTTTTAAGATTTACTTGAGGGAGAGGGAGAGCGAGACTCTGAAGCAGATTCCATCCCAGCACAGAGCCCGATGCAGGGCTTGATCCCCCAACCCTGAGACCAGGACCTGAGCTGCCACCACCAAGAGTCAGACGCCTCACCAACTGTGCCACCCAGACGCCCCTGGTGTCATAACACTTTTGACTTTACTTTGAAACCCTGGACATACTCCCCTTCAATGAAAAGAAAGCAACCAAAATGAAAGTGGTCACGTTCAGGATCCCGACACGCACCTCGCCAGCAAAAAAGACCGTTCCTTGTATTTCCTCGGCAATGATATCGTAGGCTTCTCCGCTCCCACCTGTCTTCACAAAGCTGTACGCCATCTGGATCCAGGGGTCTGTGCTCCACCGAGTGACAAAATACTTCGTGGGATCTGGGACTTCCTGTGTCCAGCAGGAGGAACCATGAACCAGGAGCAAAGAGGGACTGACACGTGCTGTGGCCCCGGAGCAGCGACACCCAGTCCCGCCGCCTCTAGAAACGGGGATCATCCCTCTGCACCCCCTGCCGCCAGCATCCACCCAGGCCCCAGACTCGTGTGGCATGCCCTCCCCCGAGGCCTCACGTCTACAGCGTCCCCGGCCAGAGACGCACACCACACCCCCCAGCAGGCCCTCCCCAGCAGCTAGGACCCGGGTGCGCCCCTCCCGACATCCCGATGCCCGGCAGGCGCGGATGGTGCCCGGAGCGGAAGGGAAGGGGCCGTCCTGGGCTGGACCGGAATTCTCAACAGCCTTCTCCACCGAACGGCCATGGGCTGGTCGGTTTCACGTTCACTTCAAATGAATTCTGTGCCTCTGACAGGCACCAGCATGAAAAATATTTCCACAGAAACAATGTGTGAAGTTCCAACTAACGGGCGTGAAAACAAGTTTTGGGGCAAAAACCGACAACTGGGAGATGTAATCACATCACGTAAAATAAGCCAACACCCTCCCGGGGGCCTCTGGTTCTCTAATTTATGTTACTTTTGAGTCATTTCAACTCTTTCTACTCCTACTCCTTTATGCTCGAAAAAGATAAAAGCCACACCACTGACAGATCTCCAGAGATCGTGAGATTTGGTAAACTGACAAATATGAAGTACCCTGAGCTCCTTGGAGAAAAGACAGAAAAGGGATGAGCTGCGTCTGTGGGGTGGGAGAAAATTCTGGACCAAATCCCTTTGAAAGGAAAGTTGTCAAAGCTGGCTGGGGTTTGGGTTAATACAGGACGTGGGGAAAAGGCTGAGCCTCTGACGTCCTTGGGCAAACGAGGGGGTGTGGTGCTCGCTGAGGCAGCACACACTGAAAGAGGAACCGTACGGAGGTGAGCACGGCCTCTGGGTGAGGCTGACGTGCAAATTCGTGAAGCCTTCCACATCTGGTGCGGTTCCCCGGCGAACAGCCCCCCTCTGGGGTTTGGCACAAAAAAGGAAGGGAGGGAGGAAGGAGGGAAGTGTGTGATGTGAGCAAAAAAGGAAGACAATGGTGTGAAAGGTGGTACGGAATACTGCTACAGGCTCATCTGTGTCCCCCTAAAACTCCTAGGTTGAAGCCCTTAACCCCCAGTACCTCCTAAGGGGACGCAGAGAACGGGCCGTCCGCAGGCACTCACATCACAATGAGGTCCTCAGGGTGGGCTTTAACCCAGTAGGACTGGTGTCCTCAGGAGAAGAGGAGAGGACACAGACCAGCACAGAGGGAAGACCAGGGAGGCCACAGGGAGGCGGCGGCCCACGTGCAGGCCAAGGAGGGCCGCCTCGGAAGAAACCAGACCTGCCTGCACCTGATCTCGGACTCAGGGCCCCCAGCGCGGCCAGGTCCAGGCCTGGAGGTGGGAGGCTGGACATGGGGAGGAGGACGGACGCAGCCCATGCCCCATCCCCTTCGTCCACAGCAACGCAAGCACGGCTGGCTCAGCGCGCTGGGTTCTCTGACCTGCTCCTTGAACAGCTCCCGGAGGACAGCCATGCACTGCTGCAGCACCTGCTTGTCATCCAGGGTCCTCACGGACGCCACCGCCTCCCCGGCGACCACCGACATCAGCACGCTGTGCTGCTTCTGCAGACGCAGGAGGAGGCATGGGCAGGTTACACTCTCTGCTTTCAGGACAGCGGTCCCTAGACGCACGGCTCCAAATCGGGAAGGACCCCGTGCTCACAAACCTCCTTATCTCCTCCTCCTTTCCATCCCCAGTCCGTTTCCCTGACAAAACTCATTATGCATCTATACATTTTGTTGTTCGCGGCTGGAAAGCTCAGAAGGAAGGGTAAATATCAAATTCAGGGTTGCTCTTGGCTTTTCCCTTATAAGAACTTGTTCTAGAAAAAACAGAAGACGGAGAAGGAACATCTGCAAATAAAATCGGGAAAAATCCTTCTCAAACGGTAAAGAAATTTTGCCAGTGGCTCCCAAGAGAAACCTTTTAAGGTGCAGTTTCTTGGAAGGAAGAAGAAAAGGGAACAACCAGGGTGATTCTTCTGCAGGACATCAATAGTACATTTCAAGTCCCCCACCCGCCGCCCCCTCTGGCCACACGGGCCAACGCCGAGCCCGCCCTCCTCCGGGCCAATCACATCTCGCCCTTCGGAGCTCACAGGAGGACCCTGGGAGTGCTGTTCAGGTACTGCTCATTACTGTGTTGTGTGGACTCTGCCCGAGAGACCGCCCCACCAGCCTGAAACACTAATCCACTTCCCGGGGAGCGACATGAACACTTGAAGAAAATATGGCAGATGCTGGGGCTCCTTTCCTGTAGGAAAACATCCAAGTATCCTCAAGCATATCAACATAGGTCTAGAGCATCCACCACGCCCATCAGTTCCCGAGCTTGACCGAATTCTAAACTGTAGGAAGGGAAATTCAAACCACATTTCACTAGCGACTTTACCTGGGGATCCATGTCATAGAACACAGCAAAAAGCCCCCGCTTGCTGGCACTAGGAGGTACGTGACCGAAAAAGTCAGCCCCTTGAACTTTACTGTCCCAAAATCGATAAGGAAATTGCAAGGCAATCTGGAAAGTGAGCAAGAGAAAGATGGTTAGGCGTTTCTGGAATCAGAAGTACGGCAAACTCTAAGAAGCACCCTATAGTCTTTAACTAAAGAGCTATGCACAAAAACAAAAACCTAAATGCTCCCTTTCCATGTACTTGTCTCGTTTGTTCTCTTGTGAGCATCTGGCTTTTTGTGCTGTTCAGTCCCGTACTCCCACCAATGATGATGGGACCCACCGACAACCGGATAAGGCTGATCTGAAGATGCAAAGCATCCCTGAGACCTGGTCTTGAAGCAAATGTCCCTAAGATCAATTCTAGCCACCCTGAGGGCTGCCAGGATCCCCTGTAGCACTGACACGTTCTGCTAGAGAAGATTTTAAAGGCAGAGGAAGTAAAACTCTCTCCTCACTGGGACCAATTAATGAAAGGCAGGCATAGAAAGCAGCCAAAAAAAAAAAAAAAGAACTACCTTATTTACATATTTATATGCCAAGTTCAAATTCTGAATAACAAGACTCATTTTCCTAAGGTCAAAATTCAGACCTCGGCCAGCTCTCCTCCTCTCGTTTTGATAAAGTCCTTTTGTATTCTTCATGAACGATTATTCAAATGAAAAGAAAATCTTCGAATTTTATTTGAATTAAAAAATTACTGGGGCACCTGGGTGGCTCAGTTGGTTAAGCAACTGCCTTTGGCTCAGGTCATGATCCTGGAGTCCCGGGATCAAGTTCCGCATCGGGCTCCCTGTTCGGCGGGGAGTCTGCTTCTCCCTCTGACCCTCCCCCCTCTCATGTGCTCTCTCTCTCTCTCATTCTCTCTCTCAAATAATCTTTAAAAAAAATTTATCCACTCCTTCCCAATACCAGAAGCTAGGGAACTCCAGTCATCTGACTTTAATCTCTTTAGTTCTGAGGCTTGAGTAACACAGTCACCTTTTCAATGATGCCTGCGCCTAAGCTGTTGATAGCCTTCATCTTCTTGTCTGACAGCGGTGGGTTAAAGTGAATGGCCCCCTTCTGCAGTAAGGCCAGGGGGACAGTGACTAATACCTGTGAGAAAAAATGAACAGTGAACACACAAAAGCAACTGAACCTAACACCACATCTACTCAGTGGATTCATTTCCAGGAAAATCTCAACACACAAAGGACATTCCTCTCTACTGCCAATCATGAGACTGTCAACGTCCCATGTTATATTGGGAAGAACAAGGGCTATCATGTACCATCGGGCAGGTTGTTCACTGCACAAGGGTGCCTGGCTGAGCAGAAGTGACATCCACATGGAAGAACTCACAGAAAGGTCTTGATGGTTTAGAATAACCCTGGGTAAAGAGTCAATAGATCCCTATCCTGAAAAGCAGTACTGTAAGAGGAAATGGCCCTAAATATGGAGTCAGGAGAACTACATTTGTGTTTCATTACCGACACTACCTAATGTGTGGCCAGTCCCTGCCCTACTAACCTCGAAGAACTGAGGTAATGCTTAAAACGAAAACTCTTACGATATACAATATACATCAATATGTTTCAGAAATGGTAAAGCACATCAAAAACAGTATGGAGTATTATCACAAAGAACCACAAGAAAATTTTAAGGAGAAAACAATTTATTGTAGGGTCTCTCCAATGGCTCGCAAAATCATTTAAGAGAACTGAAGTAAGAGGTGGGAACGGAGCCTTCAAGCATGACTCTCCAAGTCCCATCACAAAACCCGGCCATCAAAGAGCTGCTGTCTCTCCATACAATCAGGAAATTTCTGGCGCCAGAACCACATTACCACAACCACAGCCAGAAGCCATCAGTCCTGCTGCCAGCTCCAGAATCATGTTGCTTACAGAACAAGCTGCACCAGCAAAATGGGTTCTTCATGCCCCACTCGGGACTCACATGGTGAGTGGACCCTGGGGCCTCCAGTGGCCCTGTTGCAGAAGAGCCCGACACCCTGGCCGTCACGCTTGCCAGAAGTGAAGCAAACGCCACACCACACCTTCCAAGTCTCATGCTAGCGTAGATGAGTGGCTGCACCTTTCATATCTAGAACCTCAGCTGCTAGGAGTCTGGGGAGTGTGTGTGTGTGTGTGTGTGTGTGTGTGTGTGTGTGTGTGTGTGCGCGCGTGCACACAGGAGTGTGCGATGGAACCGAGTGTCAAGCACCCTAGCTACCAGAGCCCTATCAAAGATTTAGTGTGTTTGGCTTAAACCCCAACTCCAGGATCCCAGGAAGGCCAGAGTTCCTCCTGTGACTGTGTCACCATTTTCTGCCACAGGGAACTTTTAGAAAGTATAAAGCATTTTCTGTGTCATCATCATGCAATCAAAAAAAAAAAAAAGGTGGGGGGGCGCCCGGGTGGCTCAGTCGGTTAAGCATCTGCCTTCAGCTCAGGTCATGGTCTCAGGGTCCTGAGATCAGGTCCCGTGTCAGGCTCCCTGCTCAGCAGGGAGCCAGCGTCTCCCTCTGCCCCTCACCCTGCTCTTGTGCTCTCTTTCACTCTGTTTCTCTCTCAAATAAATTAAAAAAAAAAAAAAACAATTATTCTCTTGGATGCGTAAGAACTTCCAAGGAAATAAGATCTAAATCTTTTTTAAGATTTGTCAGAGAGCATGCACACAAGCAGGGGGAGGGGCAGAGAGAGAAGCAGACTTCCTGCTGATCAGGGAGCCTGACAGGGCTCCATCCCAGGACCCTGAGATCGTGACCTGAGCCGAAGGCAGACACTTAACCGACTGAGCCACCCAGGCGTCCCAGATCTAGATATACTCTTAACATCAAAAAAGCTTTCAAGAGCACATGAGCGAAGGTAAACAAACAGGCGAAAGAGATAAACATACACAGGCCAGGGACTCCCAACAGATCTCCGTGCAAGCAGCCTAGAGACCACACCACAGTTCGTCAAATGTTTATCGGTGTATCAGGTTGGGGTGGTAATCTTCCACTTATAAGTTGGTTTGGAAACTTCCAATTCAAACCGTGTGATGTGTGCAGACTACCATCAAAAGACTTCCTTTAAATGTTTCGGAGCAGACTCTGAAACACAGCTCTGCCCTAATACCCCTGGAGAGCCGGATTCAAAGAAAGAAAGGCAAAGTTGCCTCGTTAGGGTCAGGCAGAGGGTGATGCGGCAGAGGCCACAAGAGGCAGAGTCACGAAATCCCAGTGGTTGAGCCATCAGCTGACTTGCAATTTTAAAAAGAGGTATTTAAAAAAATTTTTACCACTAAGAGGAGCCTTAGATATTAGCCTGATTCTCACTTTGCGGCTCACAGATAAGGACATTGTCGCTGGCCTGGCCACATGCTGGACTCACCTGGGGAAGTGTTACAAACATGACCAGCACAATTCACTGAGAGTCTCTGCGGGGTGGGGTTCTGCAGCCTTCCTTTGTAAGCCCCTCCTGGGTGATTCTAACCTGAGCCAGGACTGAGAAGCACTACCAGTCCAAAGACTAGATCCTACCACTCCTAACTCCGAGAGTCAATGGCAGGAGTAATAGGACCTGCCCCGTGGGCTTATACATTAGACCCCGTCTCTTCATTTGACATGCGATCCTTTACTTCTGTATGAGTATCATGGACTGTAGAGTACTTGGATATAACTGGAAAGTGCAGAATACAGCTAATCTAGGAACCAGTGATAGTCTCTCAGTTACACATTGTGGTCCTCATTTCAGACATAAATAAACTGAAATAAATTTACGGGGCTTATTAATCCTCCTCCGCCGCAAGGAAGCACCTTTGCTCTCCAACACCATAGAAATCTCCGTGTGATGTCACATAGTATAACACTGTGGCCACTGTCCACCTACTGAAGTTGTTTACAAAAAATTCCAATAATATAAAAGTACTTCTGCCAGTTTCAAAATGAAAACACAGAGCTGTCTTGAATTGAAAAATGATTCCATGTCAAAACAAACTAAAAAAAAAAAAAAAAAAAACCCACTGCCAACTTGGAAAGTACTGAATTAAACAAAATAACTTTTGTAATGCACAACTTCTCAGAGCCTTTAACACATTCATATTTAACCCAAAAAGTAGACTGCAGTATACAACACTTTTCAAACTTATTTGGCCAAAGGATTTTTCTTATTCAACTCTCAGGACTGATGTACCATAGAACGCACTTTAAAGAAACACTTTTCAGAATTCCACCTACCATGAATCTACACAGTGTTAGATCAATTAAATCAGATTTGCAGATCCACACATAACTGAGTACAGATAGGGAACTCTTCAGGACCCAAACAAGGCTCCAGGCAGATTGCCAAAGGCAAACATTTTGGTGGAAAACACGGTTTTCCCAGACCCACAGACCCCTGGCAGCACCTCGTGAAATTCTATCACCTACCTTTTGTGCTGTACACCCTGTCCCATCCGTGATGGTAACCTGCACTTCATCTCCAGAATAATCAATGCTCTGTACCTGCTCAAGAAAAACAATCATGAAAACCACGAGGGATGGAGCCATAAGATCCAGGATCCTCTCCAAGTCTATCATGTGAATTTCTATCTCCAAGACTCCAAAGAATCATCTCTGGCATTCAGGATCTAAATGACATTTACAGCTTACTTCAGGGAACTATCACCCAGTCATTAAAATTTATAAACACTTTGTCAGAATATGGAAAATCTTTATGCTCGTTTATCTAAAGCAAAATAAACACGTAAATTACAGCCTCTGTGATTAGGGCAATGCACAGTACAAACGCATCGGGACAAAGATGCGAAGGAAAAATTTTAGAGTGAACATAAATGCACTGTGTCGGGGAGGTCATGAGACTCCTGCACACATTAGTCACCACTGTTGCCTCCAAATAGCAGGGCTACCTAACAGACAAGGTCACAAACACCTGTCTCCTGTGTAATCCACGTACCCCACGCTTCGTATCCTCCAAACACAAGGCCAATCCAAAGCCGCCCACCCCTCCCTGCCGCTGTCGATACTCACTGGAGACTCGAGCCGAATATCTAGGCCTTCTGCTAGTTTTTCAAGGATTACGGAGTAGCCAGGCATTAGCAGAGTATGGTCACCAGCAAACTGGGCAAAGAATTCGTTGTGGTCCCAGGAGCGAGCAGACACCTGGGAAACAATAATGTGTAGGGAAGCTTACTTTATTATTCTTTTTTTAAGTAAACTCTAGCCCCAACATGGGACTTGAACTCACGACCCCAAGGTCGAGAGTGGCATGCTCTACCGACTAAGCCAGCCAGCCTCTCCAGGAGAGCTTATTTTAAAACAAAAGGTAGACATGATTTGGGCATGGGTCCCACTCCTTGATAGAGACACAAGGTAGAGTATGTGATAACAATCCTGGAAAAGGAAAACTCTATGAATAAAACTGCATTTGAACAACTCCATCGTTAAACATGCCAACTGTTCGTCTTCAACATGGCATCTCTACAGAGGCTGAAACCCCGCATGATTTTGGAAAACAGTTACTCCAGTGGCAATGAAGAATCGAGTGAAGGGATGGATGCCTCGGTGGCTCAGCCGGTTGGGCGTCTGCCTTCGGCTCAGGTCATGGTCCTGGGGTCCTGGGACTGAGCCCTGCATCAGGCTCCCTGCTCAAACAGGGAGCCTACTCCTCCCTCTGCCTTCTGTCTCTCCCTCTCTCTCTCTCTGACAAATAAATAAAATCTTAAAAAAAAAAATGAAAACAGAGAGAGGACAGTAAGTCGGGGTCATCCATGGAGCCTCAATTCAAAATATAGAAGATCCAAGTATCAAGACCACAGTGGTTATAGGAGTGAGGCAAGTTTAAATTTATTTCAGCAAGATGCACAGACCACAACTGCAAGGCTCCTCTATTTTGGTGTCTGGAGAGCAGGGTTCTCAGACCACGCAGGGCTCCACAGAAAGGCCTGCAGGGCCTCCGGGGGGGGGGGGGGGGGGAGCAGAGAGCACAGGGGAAGGAGGGCAGCAAGCGCACCAGGCTCTGGGCCCCTCACCGATCCAGCCCGAGGCCTGCCCACCTGCGCTTACTTTAGACACACTCTCTGAAGGATGGTTTCTCTTACTTTAAAAACAAAACACAAAGTCTAAACCACGGTGGGGTGACTATGCTCAGAAGTCATGATTTTTGAACTTCCCAACAGCAGAACTAGTATTTCCTGTTTACCCAAACCAGTCTGGGTTGAGTGCGGACACACACGCACGCACGCACACCCCCCAGCACGCGCACACCTGATGGAGGTTGCTGCCGCAGGCATACTCCAGGTTGCTGAGGTGGAAATGAAGCACCTGCTCCTCAAGTTCACTGAAATGGATACCAGACTCCTTGATGAAAGCTTTGTAGATCTCCTCTATCTTTTCTGCAACGGGAAGGGAGCAAAGCAGAGAAAACAGAGGTCATGTTAGTTCCGAAATCCTTGTCGCTCTGCACCTCCTGTGACCCACAAACCCCCAAACTTCTGAAGTCCTTTCCCAAGTAAACCTGGGGTCGGGAGGTGGGGGGGAAGGACATCTTGATAAGGTTGGTTTCACTCAGGAAGGAAAAGCTTATCTTAACTGGAAACAAAGTATGTAGGCTCTACAGCTTCAACCATGTTTCGTTTCTGCCTAGCTGAAAAACTTTCTTTTTTCGCTCAGGGTGGGGGTGGGGGTGGGGTGAGTACCGGCTGTACCCCCAGAGAAAATTCCTCTTCCCTTTCTGGTCCTACTGGGACCACCTAAGGTCAAGTTCTTAGAACATCTCACCTCAACTCAAGAGACCTACAATAGACTTCTGGCTATATTCTCCCCGAAACAAGAATAATCCATCACAGGCTTTCGTCACCTCAGCCTTCTGCCTCGATACCTTTTAATTACTGGTTTTCTACTGCCTGTGTAAAAAATTCCAAAACCCACAGCCAGACCAAGCTAGCACATCATCAGCCTTTCTAAAGATAGCCCCTACTACCTGCCCACTCACACGCTCTGCTGAGCGGGCCGCTGAGTCTCTTCCTGGTCATTCCAACCGTGGGAGGCCTGCTGCCACCACTCACCTCACTGGCCGCCCGCCGGCCCCCCGGCCCAGCCCCCTTCCAGCCCAGCATCAGCTGGCCAACACACGCCTTGGGAATGCTGCTTGCTGCCAACCCCAACCTTCATCCATCCCATGCAACTGGAACGTTCAGCTACACAGACACACAGCCCTGTGGTATCATCATTCCAACTCTGGTCTTAGATTCCCTTTTCGGGGGAGGGGGTGGGGGGGGAGGCTCATGTCTGACAAACTGTAAGCCTCTTAGCACAGAGTGCTTCTTCGTAACCTTCTACCGTGATGACCACCAGCCCACATGTACGCTGCAGACTCAAAGCTTCTATCAAGTCTGTGTACTTGCTTAACTAGAAACGGAACTGAAAGTGAGTTAAGGAAAAAAAATTTTTTTTGACAACTCCACACTCTCATTAAAATTTTCCGTTCTTATGCTACATCGTAATACAGGGATGGCCACAGTGCCTCTGGATCTGTGCTGGGCTTCGGCCCCCAGACCACAGGGCCTTTGTGCTACCTTCATTACCATCCTGCAGTCCCGTTCCTGCCTCCTGCTACGGGGTTTCTATTTTCCTTTAGGTTTTGAGGAGATTTGGGAGGAACCAAGATTGCTAGAACTGTATATAAAATTAAGTATAAAGAGATTGAGAGAAGACTTAATGTGATTTTTATGTAAATTATATTTAAAAGCTTTAGTACATATGCTCTGTGAAATTAACTCTAGCTTCTTAGTATTTCTCTTTGGGTGTTCTCAGCTAAGCGCTAAATGAGGTAGAATCTCACACAGCTCAGATACTACCAGGCAGGAGAGAACTGAGACCTTCTTTATGCAGACATGTGTGCACCATTATTAAAGCTTTTCCAAAAAAATATTAGAAAAAACAACAACTTGCACAGTCGGTGTTGCAGACCCTCCTTTGATAACTTTTCTTAAGTAATTGGCCAAGACAAAGCAACATTATTAGCTTTTTTACCTGCTGGCCCTGAAGAAAGGGTGAAGACCCCCATCCAACGATTACCACCCACAGGCACAACACTACCCCAAATCTGAGCACATTCCCCAAGTCAGCCTAGTAACTTTCCCCAACTCCAAAAAATTCAACAATTGCCCCTGGGTCTGGACATGACTTACATTTGATTAAATGATCCCTGTACATCCCCATTTCTGAAAATGTTCTGTGAGAGTCTGTAGGTGAACACTTACGAATAAGGGCAACTGGAGGGGATGGGTCTCAAGCAGGAACGCAAGGGGAGGGGAAAGAGAAAGGACAGTGCTTGCTACTGAGACCTTTACCCTAAACAATGAGGGGGCATGCACCAGGATGCAGACCTTTATGAACCCTTACGAGGAAACACATCGTTGAAGCAAATTAACATCCTGTGAACAGAGTTCAAATGACCATACTTGAAGAAACCCCGAAACCCCGACAGGCCGCCAAGAACTATGAGTGATACATCCAGGACATAAGAATTGTAGGTTAAACAAACCTCAACTCAAGAAGCAGTACCGTCAAATCTCCAATGGCACCCTCGTGGAAATGAGTGGTTATGTACAGTCAAGTTTTCCAAGGAGTACAATTAACTGAGTACATTTTGGTCCGTTTAGTACCAAAGCCTAACGATTTTGAATTAAAATGTTCCAATTGCAATACACATTCTTGCATTCTTAAACATACTGGAAAAAAAAAATCTCAAGCTATTGTCCCCCAAAAAGGAAAGGAAATCCTGGCATACAGAAAGTCTTTTTATCTAGAATGGACATCATGTAGGGACTCTTCACACAGGGCCTAGAACACATTTCCTTAAAGGAGGCTCCTCTGGGAAACTGAAAATTAAACATTTAAATAATTATTTTAAACATCAGCTATTTTATGCAAAGTAAGATCTGAGTGTGTTCACTCACACAAGCCTCTAAAGGTCCTTCAGGAAGTTCTCCGCAGAGCAGAACAGTCCGGAGGACTCATCAGTCCAAAAGGAATGCTCACAGGAGTGCGTGCGTGCGTGCGTGTTAACATACGCTCTACGCCCATCGTGGAGCCTGAGCTCATGACCCCGATATGAAGAGTCACAAGCTCCACCAACTGAGCCAGCCAGGTGCCCCTTCATAGGACTCCTCCCATTGCAGACATCCAACCGCACAGGCGGATGCTGCTAGTGCTAATGAGCTAGGGTTACAAGGAGACTCCAATGGAACATTCAGAACACCATTCTCCCATACCTCCTAAAGGAACATCTTGGAGCTGAGTCTTATCCTTTCTCCACTCAGAGACAACATCCAAGAGAGCATTAAAATGAAAATCCATGCGCTTGTCAATAGTGGGGTCAGTTATTCGTCCACCTTCCTGAATTAAGTCACATCTCTCTCCAAATTTATGCATGCTGATGCCAAGCTTCAAAATAATAAGAATAAGAAGGTGAAAATTTGCCCTGGAAAAAATACTTACAGGTTCTAAGCTGAAATTAGACAGAGCTCTCATGGAGAAAACGGTCTAGCAGCTCTCGAAGAGAAAGCTAAATATGCTTCCTAGGGAAGGGCAGCAAAGTGAGGCAGTGAGGAAAAAAAGAGCATGAAATCTGCGAGACCTTATTACAGGAGAAGGTGAGGTGACAGCAACAGCGTCCATGCCATGCACTCTACAGCTTTTCGGGCCATAATAATTAATGCTTCTGAAGCTACGGCTGAGCACTGCCTCTCCTTGCTCTGACATTCCAGCCCCGCTGTGGACTCTCCCATAAATGAGCACGCAACCACACAGACACTCATGGAAGGTGATGTTGAATTTACCGTCAATAAACACTTCAGGAAAAAACCCTAGGCCTACCAGGTCTTCAAAGAAATTACAGAGGGTTGCCCGATAAGAGACAGGATGCCTAGGTAAATCTGACTTTCAGATAAACAATGAGTAGTTTGGGTTTGGGTTATCTGTTGTTGTTTTTGTTTTTTTAGCATAAGTATGTCCCAAATATTGCATGCAAAATATCCCATGTAATATTTGGGACATAATTATCCTAAACAAAGTACTTATTTATCCAAAAGTCAAATTTAGCTAGGCATTCTGTATTTTTATTTGCTCCATCTGGCAACCATACAGTGATGAGCTAATCGAGTGGCCGGCAAATAAGACACAAATATAATTAAAGATCTTAGAAAAAAATCTTTTATGCACGCTACAGTTCTACCTTCTCCGAAAGGAAGAACTGTAACTATTTTTGTTGACTTTTCAGAGGGGATGAGGGGGCAAGAAATCATTTGGGGGTGGTTCTATATCATCTAGAAGCATTATTAATACTACACACAAGCAAAATGAGACCATTTTTTCTTCTGATTATCTACAACACAAATCTTAAAGAAACCCACTTGTTCACACATTAGTGCTACTGGGTTGTTGATACAGCCATTGACAATCTGGGCTCCTCTTCCCACTGTGACACCTTTAAAAGATTTATCATCCCATACTCGGCCTCCAATTCGGTCTTTGGCTTCCAGGACAGTTACCTAAAAAGACAAGCAATCAGGGAAGCTAAATAGGATAGAAAAACCATATTAAACAGAATGACACACAGTTAAATAAATTCCATATTTGGTTAATTATATCACTTGAGAAAAAAACTTTAAAAAGAAGGCAGTGTGAACAGAAGCCAACGTAGATGTTAAAACAAACCATCCAGCTTTTCAGCAAGAAGTGAGTGAGTGGTCTGCTGGAGAAATCCCTCACACTGTCTCCTCTCCAATCCCATAATGATAAGATATGATGAACCACCACATGAAACATACTCTGAAAGCGTTTACTTAATACTATTCCATAAATTAAAAAAGCACTATAAGAAACTAAAGAGGTGAGTTTGTCCTATAAAATGTCTCTGGATGGAGCAAAATGCCTTCAGCATTGCAAATAGGACTTAACTTCCCTAAGATAAGACTACTGTTAAAAATAGGGCACCTGCATCAAAAACTAATGATGTAATACATGGCGATTAACATAACAATAAAAAAATTAAAAAAAAATAGGGCGCCTGGGTGGCTCAGTCGTTAAGCGTCTGCCTTCGGCTCAGGTCATGATCCCAGGGTCCTGGGATTGAGCCCCACATTGGGCTCCCTGCTCGGCGGGGAGCCTGCTTCTCCCTCCGTCACTCCCCTTGCTTGTGTTCCCTCTCTCACTGTGTCTCTGTCAAATAAATAAAAATCTTAAAAAAAAAAAAAAGACTACTGTTAAAAATAACATCGTATGTCGATCATACTATCCAAGTATGACTTGGTGGGTGTGGCCTAAGCAGGTTGGCCCCACACGCAAACAGCTTTACCTCCCCCAAATTTCGGACAGCACGAGGAGCTGCTGCTGGACAGCTCCGACTACAACAGCCATACTTCCCTGGGTTGCAGTAACCCAGGGAAAATGTGAGTCCTACTCTGCCATTTCACTTCCGGATCCCTAACAGCACTCCTTCAATTTGCTCAAGGAGGTTCCCCAAGTCAACCATCTTGGTTACTCCAGGGAATCTCTTTCCTAACATTAAGAAGGATCAGTGGTCTCTGTGGGGTCTCTCTCATCACCTGGCGAGAGAGAAGGGAGAATGGGAGGGGTCCTCTGAATATTCTTATTCCTCATTTTCTCTGACAAGGTAGGTTACAACCTGAGGTTCTAACCCTCCCCACCCTCTTTTCTCTGACTTCATTCAGATTAACACAGACCCATCTGTGTCTAGTTTTGTTTTAGTGTAAGAGGAAAGCAGGACATTAAAGATAGCCCCCTAGATTTTGGATATTGATAACCTCCCCTGCAATATCATCTGTGAGTTTCCCAAACAAAAACAAGAGATCTCGGCCCTTAATATCTAATGGTGGAATAAAAAAGTGATCAATTAAAACACGTCCTAGCTTAATACCACTCAGAAAATATTCTGAAATATAAACACACTTCCCATAAATCCAACTCAGGTTCTTTGGTTTTGTGAGCAAAATAATGTAATCCAAGATTTACATCTTCCAATCAACTGAGGAAAACTTCTCTTAGATATAGCTACTGAAAACTTTTCTCATCTCTGAAACTCCTCCAGCAGAGAAGACATTGTGAAAAAGTTGTCATTTCTTTCAACCAGACGAGAAAAGTGGTAAGACTAATTCAGTTCTACCAAATTGATCTTCACGTTTGGTTTAACTGAAAACCAAAGTCCTTGAAAAAATATTAGTTTTTAAAAAGGAGACATGTGTCAGACCTAAAAGTCACAACCATCGAGGGATGGTTAATTCGAATGAATCTAATGGAAATGAGATTCTGAATTGCACGATAATTTTTTGTCTCTATTTGGGCTAATGTTGAACAACTGGACTAAGGCCACACACTAGCTAAAAACTACCCTACCTTGGAGAAGCAGGCTACCTCAAATATGTACAGCCCTTTAAAAGTCATGTAATTCTGTCTGAACCATGGATTAACCAGTTCAATCTTGCTTCCAAAAGCAGACTGTTTTCCAGAGTAAGACTCAAAGTGTGCCTTTGAGGGGCACCTGGCTGATTCAGTCAGTAGAGCGTGCAACTGCTGATCTCGGGGTTATGGGTTCAAGCTCCACATTGGGCACAGAGCTTACTCAAAAAAAATAAATAAATAAAGGATACCTTTGATTTGCATAAGAAAATTTAACTGGGTGTTTCAGAAACTTTAATACAAGAAACGGTGAATTTCCAAGCTACTATTTGGTTGTTTCAAACTATTACAAAAACAAGGACTTTTTCCCAATGTGCCCTCTATGGGGTCGATAACACCCCGTGGAGAATTTCTGCCTTAGTTTCTGCACATACTCTCTTCTGATTTGCTCATTAGGAGCCTAAAATCCTCTCCTAAAGCTGCTGAGAACTGCTATTCCCCCCACCTTTCTTTTATCAAACCAATTTCAAATGTTTTAACTTTTCTAGGATCAATTAGAAAGATTTTAAAAGATATAAAGATACAGTGTGTTTCACATTCTCCACTAAAATCAGAAACTGGTTTCTAAATCTTAGAAAATTTGGACCAAAGGCACAGTTAACCATCTCTTGTCAACTTCATGTCCCCAAAAATCTTACCTTAATTCCAAAGTTATGCAATTGCCTAGCAGCTGCTAATCCTGCTGGACCAGCCCCGATGATGATGACTGATTTCTTAAAAAAATAAAATAAAATTTTTTTTGAAAAAGAAGGATCCAATTAGAGAAATGAAAGCAATATATTGTTTTAGTTGTTCTAAGAAGGTACTAACTGCCAAGCCACGTTAGTTCACTTAGTACATCTACATTTCTTTGATGTTCATAGAAAGGTACTTTCCTAAAGAATAAGGTTGCACGTAAGTAATCCCCTCTTTTCCACAGTCTAGGAAACCGGTGCCTGATACTCTCTTCCCCAGAGAAGCACATATTCTACACAAGTCTTGCTTTGTAACTTGTGTGGCAATACCGTGTCTGTCACTAGTATTATTAACGAGGATCCCCCAACACTGATGTCACATACTAGCATTTATCATGATGGCAGTGGTGTTACTGCGAGAGCAAAAGTCACCTACGTTGTGGTAATCTTTAGGAAGAAGATGCTGGTCGGTGCCGACGCCAAGAACTCCCGTGTTGATGAGACCTTTCCTCGTCATAAAATAAAGTATCCTCTCTACTTCCTGAACACACCGGATACGCACGAGACCCCGGACAATGATGTGAGGAATACATTTCTGAGGGGTAAGAGCTTCCTGTGTGTGGAAACAAAACCAGACTGTTAAGACAAAACAAACACACATAACTCTGGGCTCCTCAAAAAATTAAACAGAATTCCTCTGTGACCCAGCAAGCCCACTCCTGGGTAACCACTGAAAAGAACTAAAAACGTAGGCTCATACAAAATTCATAGCAGTACTATACTCAGATTGCCAAAAGGTGGGAAGTATCCAAGTGTCCATTAACGGATGAACAGATAAACCAAATGGGGTAGATCCATACGAGGACCATTACTTGGCCATAAAAAGAAATGAGGTACTGATCCACACTACAACATGAGGGCATCCTGCAAACATGATGCTACGTGAAGAAGCTACTTACGAAAGGTCACATACTGTAGGATTCCATTTATATGAACAACCCGCAATGGGCAAATCTATAGAGACAGGAAGTAGATTAGTGGTTGCCAGAAGCTGGGGGGAGGAAGGAATGGGGAGTCACTGCTTAATGGCTGTGGGGTTTCCTCCTGGGGTAATGAAAAGTTCTAGAACGAGATGTGAGGATGATTATACAACACTGTCTATTTACTTGATGCCATTAAACTGTACCTTTTATAATGGTAAAAATGGTAAATTTTATGTTGTGTTTTCACCACAATAAAAAACCAACCAAACAAAACAAAAACCCACTCAGGGTACTCAAGTCCATCCTGTGTCACTAAGACCTAGTAGGATCAAAGGGGGGTCGGGGGGGTTGCCTGGTGAAGAAAAAAAAAGGGACCAAAGGAAGAGACAGCAATTTGTATTTCATCAGTTCATCTTCTCCTCCCCAAGAAGGACAGCTATGGGAAGTGTGGGCTGACCAAGTCGCAAACGCATTCCTGACTCAATACACCACACGCTAAAGGCCACAGCAAAAGCCCACACCGCCACTTGAACCAGCAGCAGGAAAAGCTGGATTCTCATCACTGATAAGATGTGAGGAGACAGATTTAGGCATGTGTTTAAAAAAAAAAAAAAAAAGACACTCTCTTTCCCTTTGCGCCCCAGCATTGGCAAGGCCTTGGAACGTTTCAAAGATACAAGACTGACATAGCCTTGACCCACTGTCGTGAAGTTAGAACAGCCTCAAGAGTGGGAGTCCCAACCTCTGGCTCATCCTCTACTTGTCACCAAGCCCCCAGCTCCGAAAGAACCTCACCAAGGCAGGAAGAGGACTTACAGTAGAACCATGAATGACACAGGGTTGAACTGTGTGGGTCCACTCACAGATGGGCATTTTTGATAAGCACAGTGCAGTACTTAATATTTTCTGTAGCTTACTTTATCCTAAGAATACAGTATGTAATACAGATGCAACACAGAAAATATGTGTCAATCAACGGTTTACAAGATTGGTAAGGCTTCGAGTCAACATATCCGTAGTTAAGTTTTGGGGGGAGCCAAAAGTTATATGCGGATTTTTGACTGGGTTGGGGGGGTGTCAATGCCACTAACCCCCACATCGTTCAAGGGTCAACCATATTCAAGAAATAACATCGGCTTGGGTTGGTGCAAAAGGTAAAAAAAACTTATTTGTAGTCATGAATTTTAAAAAGAAAATAATTTCAAAATCTTTGATTCTTTCACAAATATGTGCTTTTCCACTAGAGTATTAAACATAAATCATACTATTTTATTAAAATAGATCCAAGCTGACCAGGTTCAGGATTATTTTCTGTTAGGTTCTTCACCAGTATAAATCAATTTTCAAAGTCGAACGAAAAGAAATGTGAAGAAAAATGAATCCAAGGCTGTTTCTGAAAAGTGTATCTTTACAACTTATTTACAGGAAATTCTGACCACAATTTTGTTAAGTTAGCAAATGTTTATTGAGCACCTACCTCAAGCCTGCTGGGGAGGAAATGAACAATTCTGCCTTGTCCAACCCACTCACAGAATTCGTATAAATTGCATTAACAGCCATAAACCTAATCAGGCCATCTCACACTGGATTCTCATCCAGTGAAACACCAAGGTGGATCCGGAATATCTTTCTTGAATCAAGATTACTTTGGCAGTCTTGCCAAATGTTCTGCATCCAGCAATCACTCAAATAATTGCAGAAGAAATTAATAAATCAGAAAAATACTAGGGTCACGGGGCGCCTGGCTCAGTTGGTTAAGCGACTGCCTTCGGCTCAGGTCATGATCCTGGAGTCCCAGGATCAAGTCCCGCATCGGGCTCCCTGCTCGGCGGGGAGTCTGCTTCTCCCTCTGACCCTCCCCACTCTCATGCTCTCATTCTCTCTCAAATAAATAAAATCTTAAAAAAAAAGAAAAAAGAAAAATACCAGGGTCAGGAAAGCTTTTGTTTAGATAATAATAATAATTTAAAAAGCTCCTATTCCCTTTAATTGGCCTCCCCCCCTTCCAGGGGGGGCTGTATGAGCAAAGCACTGGTCTCAGCTGTTGGAGGATAGTAATGTAAGAATCCCTGCCCTCAAGGGATTATAACCCAATCTTTAATGTTTTATATTTTTTCTCTCTACATTCACATTGGAACTCTCTGAACCAAACTTTGCACCTTATACTCACTAGAGAGTCAAAAATTCGGATGACATTTGATCTGAAGTGGGGGTTCCCAGGATGGGGAGACTTAGCGCCCGGGAAGGTGATGCCTGGAGACATCTTGAGTTGTCACAACCAGGGGGTGGGGGGAGTTCCAGTGGGTAGAGGACAGGGATGCCGCAAAACATCCTACAGGGCACCGGACAGCCCCCCACACAATGACTATCCACCCAGTGTCCACGGTGGGAAGGCGGAGAATCGCTGATCTAAAGGCTTCCCCGCCGACAGCTACGGCAGTCCCGGTCCGTGTGCATCAGCAGATTAGCGGGCCCTCCCTCCACTTACTTTGCAGTTAGTGTACCACAGCGCAAGGATGAGGTTCCGCAGAGCCAGGTACATGGTGGGGTCTCGCGAATACTCTGGGAACTCATAGAGCTCGTCCAGCTCCATCACGTCCGGCCGCACACACAGGGCTTTGCCACACTCATTGGGCTGGTAGAAAGGCTGGAAGTACCGGTTCATGCCTGGAACTGACAGAAGACGTGTAGACGCACACATCCCACACCCAGGTAAGTGACCACGTGGGCACACACGGGAAAGGGCAGCCTCAGCCAGGGCTACGGTCTGTCCCACGACACATTCCCGCTCCCTCTGTCCAGTTAGATGGAATACACGTGAACTGCGTATTTCTCCTGCTCTTTCTTCACCAATTGAATGCCCACGGTATGGAAAAAATTTGTTTTAAGGTTTTTCTTTTTTTTTTTTTTAAGATTTTATTTATTTGAGAGAGAGCATGCACATGAGAGGGGGGAGGGTCAGAGGGAGAAGCAGATTCCCCGCGGAGCAGGGAGCCTGATGCGAGACTCGATCCCGGGACTCCAGGATCATGACCTGAGCTGAAGGCAGTCGCTTAACCAACTGAGCCACCCAGGCACCCCCTTTTTTAAAGTTTCCACGGGGATTAAACACCTGCTCTAAAATCGAACACCTTAACTGTGTTTAAGTGCAGTGTTGAAACGGGTGAAGTATATCCACGTTGTTGTGCAACACATCTCCAGAACTTGTTATCTTGTAAGACTGAAACTCTGTGAACACCAACTCCCCATAGAAATAAATTTTAAAAGTAACCTTCATTGGAATTTTTCTGATTAAAACATGAATCGGTTCACAGAGGTACGTGACAATCACTAACCCCTGGTAATCCACGAGCCGTGGGGCAACATTTAAGGCTACAGTCTATCCTTTGTGCTATTTCTACTCACAGAGACTATTAATATATCAGGCACTTGTTTTTTAAAAGCCAGAAAAACATGCTGTTTCCGAACCTGCTTTTCAAGACCATTGTCCCATGTCACTGAACCTGACTTCAATGGACACAGAATATTTTCCTATTATTTAACCACTCCTCTGTTCCTGGGCACTGAAATTTCATCTAATTATTTCCCTACTGTAAACAATGTCATATAAATCTTCGGATTAACCTTTGAGAATTTACTTTGAGAATTTATTTAGGACAAATTCCTAGAATAATGGGGTGTCTATTTTTAGGTTTTTGGTTCATGGACAAACCGTCCCTCACAAATGTCCACACCCACTAATAGCATTTGCGTGCCTGTTTCACGGCACCTTCATTAACCCTGGGACTTATCACTTTGGCTTTGATTCAGACCACAACCACCTTTTTAGAGGGCCCAGTGTTATCAGTTAAAAACTTTAAAACAGGGTGGTGCGTCGGTGGCTCAGTCGGTTAAGCATCTGCCTTCGGCTCAGGTCATGATCTCAGGGTCCTGGGATCGAGGCCTGCACCGGGCTCCCTGCTCAGAGGGGAGCCTGCTTCTCCCTCTACCCCACCCCCATGCTTGCTCACACTCTCAAATAAAATCTTTTTAAAAATTTTTTAAAAATAAAAATTAAAGAAACCCTTAAAATAGGGCTTCTAGGTCAAAATCTATTTGCACCATCAAACCTAAAGTTTGTTAATGCGTGAACAAGGGAAGGTCTAGAATTCTTGGGGGGACACCAAGAACTCTGGTGGAGAATTTTAAAGATCCATTTAAAGTAAGTGGTCAATGGCATGTCTGGCCTGAGCTGAAGTTTTGGATTTTTTTCAAGAGTTGATCAACTCTGCTGAGATTTTCCATGGCATAATTAGAAGCAAAAAAGACTTAGAAAAAAAAGAAGGGCTGCTCATATGGTCAAAACTTTCTTCTAGCATGTCAGACTTTTGGGTTATCATGAAATGATGCAGCCACCCAAATTTCAAATAAGTAACTCATCAAACTCCACAGACCCAATTCCTAGACCAGTGTTACAGACTTCCCACACTCTGGACGGGAAATGAACCGCACAATATATGCGAATGACATGGCTGAGCCACGGCATAACACAATCCAAGAAATCACAAGGTGCTTTAGATCATATGGCACACGCTAAAAAAAAAAAAAAAAAAAAACACGCAAACTTTTGTGTTCTGCTCCCCACCCCCCCATTTCCAGGGAAAGAGGGGGAAAGGAAAGCAGAGAGGGCCAGGACCAGCTCTCACCCAGCGCAGAGGGGACAGCCTTGGAGTGCTCCAGCTTCCCAGGGCTGGCGCTGCCAGCTGCACTGTGGGTGCTGGTGCAGGAGGGACTCATGCCCACGCAGTCGGGGTAGTAGGCAGAGAGCAGGGGTGCCGCCACGCTGTCTTTCAGCAAAGGAGGGAGGATGAGCATGGAGTACCACCAGTGGTTGGAAACTTCCGACACTCTCTGAAACAGGGGAGAGTGAGACCAAGAGGTACAATGGCAGACAAGAAATGGACACACGGGCCCAGCCAAGGACAGGCGGTTGGCTTCAGGGCATTCACCCGCACCCTCCTCCCCCTGGAACGCCAACCCCCCGCCAACACCAGATCAATCCCACAGTTGCATCTGGTACAGCCTTCCATCCTAGCAGCAGCATCACAAATAATGTAAAAGCCAGTGCAATCCCCTACATTGCAAGTCTAGGCTTCAGCCTGACATGAGAAACTTCTTTCTGTTCAGTAATCACTTATTACCCATACTCCCCCCACCTTCATTTGAGGTCATGAAACTGGGCAGAAAAAATCGTCCTCCTGAGAAGCAGTCAAGCAGGACTCCTTTTTGCTAGAAGCTACTGAGCACTTTTGGAGGAAGAAGTACGCTACAACTATCGAAATAAGATGCTAAATGTAGAAATGAACAAAAAAGCTCTTTTTGGTCTTAAAATTTGTGATCACATTCCAGAGCTGATTTAACATATGGAGTCATCAGATCAAAGCATCCCCATGATGACTAACTATTGCAATAAGAATAAAATTTACTTGGCTTCTAAAGCAACACTGCCCGCCAAGCCTATGTTCAACGGCCTTTTCTAAACATGATCTTGAACGCACGTTCCAAGAATTCTAAGAATCTGATATAGGAGAACCCTGAGCTCCGGGACCCTCTGATGTCAGTTCTGAGGGCTCCAAGCAGATGCCACCTGCCATGGAGCAGGGGTTTGTGGCCTCGAGGTCCAGAGGGCGAATCCAGTTTGCAGATGTATTTTGTTTGTTCCTGGCTTTCACGGGGTCCAAGTCTGGGGCAAGCATTTTTCAGTTTACGACAAGCCCCGACACCTGCTATAAAGGACTTGCAGCTGCTTCACACATTCATTTACCTGCTCCGGCCCTGAAGGCATGTCGGTCTGCTATCTGTCATCAAGGCTACCCAGGGCCAGCCTGGGCTGTACCGAAAAAGAAGAGAAGTTTCCGTTCCACCCCCAACACGCCAGGGCTGCCTCTATGGAGCCCCTGCTGGTGCAGCCCCAAGGAGAGAGTAAACTGCGAGTTCAGATCCCGACACTCCAAACGGACCGCAGAGAGTCAGAATGGAGATGCCTCAGGTGAACATGAACCCAAGCTCTTCAGCTTCCAGGACCCAACAGAGGCCCTGCTCTCCTGCTACCTGCTCCCAGTCCTTCCTCCCCAGGAAGCACATTTGAGGGTGCTCCCACCAGCCTCTGCACGGGAGTGTGAGCAGCTCCAACAGAGACTGATGAACCTGCACTCCGTCCTGCCGTTCTGAGCGTGTCCTCCCAGCACACTCGTCATTCCCGGGACACCTGGCTGTCATTTTGTCGAGACACCATCAAGAACCGCCCTCTCACCTTCAATACACATACCACGGAAGAAATCGTACTTGATATAGTCAGTCGATCAGCATATTCAATGAAATAGCCACTACACTGAGTTGAGTAGTGTTCCCCTAAAATCCGTGTCCACCCAGAACCTCAGCATGTGACCTTATTTGGAAATGAGGTCCTTACAAATCAGTCACACTACAGTGAGCCCTAACCTCCGTGTGACCAGTGTCCTTATAAGAGAAGAGACACAGCCGGGGAGACAGACGGGGAGAGTCACATGAGCCTGCAGCGACCCGCTGACAAGCCGAGGAATGCCAAGGGGTGCTGCCACCACCAGAGGCTGGAAGAGGCTGGACTGACGCTCCCTCAGACCTTCAGGACACCTTCACTTCAGACTCACGGCCTCTGAAACTAGGAGACAACATGCTTCTGTTGCTTTAAGACACTGAGTTTATTATATTTTGTTAGAGCAGCCCCAGGAAACTAATACAGGCACCAAAACTTAGAACCTGCTTGAAAAGTGACCCTAGGGGCGCCTGGGTGGCTCAGTCAGTAAAGCGTTTGCCTTCGGCTCAGGTCATGATCCCAGGGTCCTGGGATCGAGTCCCACGTCGGGCTCCCTGCTCGGCAGGAAGCCTGCTTCTCCCTCTCCCACTCCCCCTGCTTGTGTTCCTGCTCTCGCTATCTCTGTCAAATAAAATCTTTAAAAAAAAAAAAAGTGTGTATCTCACACACCCCTTTATGTAACAGAATGGATTTCAAGTAGAATTCATAGGTGTCAATTCTCCCTTTGCCTAAAAATCAATCACAGTCCCTGAGTTTCAGACATGAAGAAAAACTGCAAATTACCACCCCTGTATTAGGGAAATGCAGAACAGCTCAGAATCTCGCAATTTTAGAAACTCAGAAATGCAAAACATCATTTCCTATAACAGCCGTGGGGTCTGCCAGCTCAGGTAGCAAAGTTCCACATGAGAAATGAAACATGAGGCGGCTCAGCCTGCTGGACATGAGCTTCTCTTCCCCGCACGGGGCAGAGACAGGAGTGAGCAGCTACACTGAGCTCAAAACACACAAGAACACTCTCTCGCAGCTGAATCTGGGCCAAGACCATCAAATTACGGGCCTCTTGTTCTTTTCTTGGAAGGATTCAAACGGAGATAAGGTCACAAAAGCCACCCATGAGAAACAAGGATAATAAAATGCTGATCCTTGTCGTAAGGCAAGCTATCCATTTCTCCCTTTCAACGGGGGGCAATATAACCGTATTTCTTTCTCTTTAAGGTAGGGGAGCATCACCCATGATACCATGACTGCTAACATTTTCATCGTACACACGTCAGGTTAGATGAAAAGTCTTTGATCAGCAACCAAACAGAAACTCATAAAACTGTTACTGTCGCTGACGTATAGTACTGTTATCACTGAAAGCACAACGAGCTCTAGTCTAGGATGTGCACAAATACTCACTAGATCCTCTGGAAGGGAGCAATGATCTGAGGTCTCGGGCTGTAAAAGAAAACCAAGTGTTAATTAGATTTACTTATAAAATACAGGCCTAAGTGTCCATGCGCTTTCAGTAAGATACCTCTCTTCACCTGTTCAACGGGCAAAAGTGAAAAGTGGGATAAAACACTGTAGGAGTGAGGGTGTGGAGGAGACAGCTACTCCCATAAAGATGTGCCGGGTGGAAGGCTCAAGGAATGGAAGAACTTCGGAGGACAATTTGACAAAATACACATTTAAATGCACAGTAATTTGGCACTATCTTGCACCGCTGAAGACATACATACTATATGCCCAGCAATTCAAACTTTGCTAGATTTTCAAGAGGAACCCTCAAACATGTGCACCCACAGAAGTATCAGAAATGCTCAGGGGTGCCTGGGGGGCTCAGTCAGTTAAGCATCCGACTCTTGGTTTCAGCTCAGGTCGTAATCTCAGCGTCATGAGACTGAGTCTCCCATAGGGCTCCCCTGGCTCAGTGAGGAGTCGGCTTGAGATTCTCTCTCCCTCTGCCCCTCCCTCCACTTGGTCTCTTTCTCTCTCTCACTCAAATAAATAAAATCTTTTAAGAAAATATTTCTTTATTTTGGAGGGGGGCAAGGAGGGAGGAGGGGCAGAGGGAAGGGGAGAAGCAGACTCCCCGCTGAGCAGGGAGCCCAACGTGGGGCTCAATCCCAGGACCCTGAGATCATGATCTGAGCCCAAGGCAGAGGCTTAACCGACTGAGCCACCCAGGTGCCCCAAAATAAATAAATCTTAAAAAATGTTCAAAGGAGCACTATTTGTAATAGAAAAAGGCTAAATACAGCCCACAAGTCCACCAAGAGTAGAACAGTGTTATGTTCAAACAACAGCCCACTAGGGCGCCTAGATGCCTCAGTTGGTTAAGCATCTGCGTTCGGCTCAGGTCATGATCCCGGGTCCTGGGATCGAGTCCCGCGTCGGGCTCCCTGCTCAGCGGGGAGCCTGCTTCTCCCTCTCCTCCCCACTCGTGTACTCTCTCTCGCTATCTCTCTCTCTCTCAAATAAATAAAAATCTTTAAAACAACAGCCCACTACACAGCAATGAGAAAGAACCAACCACAAACTACACACTACCACATGGACATAGCTCACAAACATAATGGCGACAAAGAAACCAGGCCCAGAAAAACACATACTGTAGATTCCATTTACATAAAGTTCAGTAAGCCCGCCGAATGAGTAGAAGAGCAAAGGAAGGAGGGTGTGAGTGATAGGGGTGTAGGGGGGGCTCCTGCGGGGCTGGGAAGAGTTCGATTTCTCTACTGGGAGTTGGCTAAAGAGGGACTCTCAGAAGCTTCACTGAGCTCTGCATTTTGATTTGTGCATCTTCTGTTTGTATGTTATACTTCAATAAAAAAGTTACCTAAATAAACTCAAGACTGGCATACCATATGGCCTAGCAAATCTGGCCCCTGGAATATTCCAGAGAAACTCTTGCATGCATGCACCAGGGGAGGCGTGCAAGAATGCTCACGTGTATCTAACAGCCTGAAACGAGAAACCACCTTCACGTCCATGAACAGGAGAACAGATACGCTGTGGTAGGTAGATTCATGCAAGGCAATACTACACAGCAGGGATTATCAACGAACTAGAGCTTAAGCTTCAACATGGATGCTTGTGAAAAACCTCACTGTTGAGTAAAAAGAGCAAGTTGCAGAGGAACACAAACAACAGGACATAATTTATAACCAGTACAGAAATATAGAAAACTTTACATGTTGTTTTGGTTTCATAAATATGCATGAACCCTGTAACAAAAAGCAGAGGAATAATAAATGCAGAATTCAGAACACTGCAGAATACTTGCAGGGGAGGGAGGGAAAGAGAAGTACAGAGGGGCCCCCGGGGAGCTACAGAGGCCTTGGTAATGCTCTGCTTCTAAAACTGGGTGCTGGGTACCTGAGGGCTTGCTTTAAGTCTTTATTCCTTATGCATCATTAGAAACCCTCTTTTGTGTCTATGTATTAGTTCATAATAAAATGACCATATTGGGGTGCCTGGCTGTATTGGTCAATAGAGCACGCAACTCTTAATCTCAGGGCTGGGAGTTCAAGCTCCACATTGGGCGGGGAACCTACTTAAAAAAAAAAAAAGGGGAGGAGGAAAATGACCATATATACTTTGACACAGAAATTTCCTTTCTTGGAATTGATCCTACAAGCAGACTGAAGATGCCACAGATACAAAGCTATTCACTGTAGCACTGTCACTAACAGTAAACATTTAAAAGTCACCTAAATACACTTTAGTCAGGCTAAATTCATCAGGATACACCAATTCAGTGGACTATGTATTATATGGTCCTTAAGAAAAAAGAGACCTTTAGGTACTGATATGGAAGCATCTTCATATAAACCGACAGGGGCACCCAGGTGGCCAGTTGATTAAGTGTCTGACTCTTGATTTCGGCTCCGGTGGGGATATCAGGGTTGTGGGATCGAGCCCCGAATCGGGCTCCAAGATGGACGTGGAGCCTGCTGGAGATTCTCTCCCTCCCTGTCTCCCGCTCCCTCTGCCCCTCACCGCACCCCCCCCCCAAAAAGATACATGAACCAACAAAAGCAAGCTCCAAAAGAGCAGGTGTAGCTCACTACCGTTCTGTTTAATGTTGGTTTACAAACAAACCGTTCCAGACTTTGTCCTTGACAGAATACCCAGCTGAAGACCAAAGTGACTCCAGGTCAATGAACACCATTTAAATAAATATTGCAAAAGTTCAGGTTATAGATAGCAATCATTGAGACTGCAGCAGTAGGTCTCAAAGGGGGCTCTCCAGAGGCGAGAAGGAGATGAGAAAATGTGATACCAGGGTCAGAAGCTGGAATTTAAGACCTCAAAAGCTTCAACTTGAAGATGGTGGGAGGCAGGAGGAGAGAAAGACAATTGAATTTTCAAAAACGTAAGGGATCTGACACCTCAGAGCCCCTACTGGGAAAAAGTACTTGCTGTTAAAATACATTCAGCCATGTGAGGAATCACAATAAAGAAGTGAGGACAGAAGGAACTGTGGTACAGAAATTGCGGGGTGCAGCAAAGCCACGCAAACACGGAGGAGTAAACAATGGAGACATTACGGTGACAGAAAATAAATGACCCAAAACACTAACAGGAATTGGGAGGGAGGAAAAGGCGTGGCGGCCTGAGGTGTGATGTAATTTACTTTTTCCTCTTTCACGGTCACGTGTCAATGAGCATCTAAGATTGAGACATGCAATTTAAAAAAGAAGTTAGGGCGATTCCAACCTAACATTCTCATCACGTATCTTCTTAATCTTTCAGGGAGATTTTATTTTTTTAGAGATTTTGTTTATTTATTTGAGAGCACAGTGGGAGAGGGAGAAGCAGACTCCCCGCTGAGCAGGGAGCACCACGAGGGACTCAATCCCAGGACCCTGCGATCATGACCTGAGCCGAAGGCAGACGCTCAACAAACGGAGCCACCCAGGCGCCCCTCAGGGAGATTTTAGAAACTATTCTTCTTTGTGATGAAGAAATAATTATTCCATGTTCAGCAAGCTCTTACTTCACTTTGGCTTTTCTTATGTTAAGTTTGGTCGTATGAAATGCAACCATAGAAACCAGCATGTGTGGTGTTATTTTTCACTCCGAAGTGATCTGTCAGCCACGCCTTCTCCTTGCACACAGGTGGGAATATTCTCGAATGAACCTCATCAGACAATGTTTATTTCATGACGGTGACTGCATGAGTTTGGTTTTTTGCTATCTTTGTTCTTTTCTGCATTGCTTCAATGTTTCAAAGATGAGCACATGTCATTTTTCTAAAAAAAACAAGCTCATTCTACAGAAAACCTTGTGCTTTTCCAAAGCAGCTCAAGTTCAAGAAAGTGAAAAAGACATGGACCACTGGAAGAAAAATCAAGTAAACAGGAAAAGGGACATAGATGATCTGAAGAATGAGTAGAAATGATGCTGACAATGCACTTTCTGTTATCACACATGAAAGAGAAGAGGGATGACAGAGAACTCCAAACCCAGCTAAACCACAGCCAGGACAAGTTACTTTCATATAAACTTTGCATGTAAAACACACCTAGTCTTTAGTAACGTAACATTATTAGGCAAGTCATCCAAGATATTTGTTTAATCCTTTAGAACAATTGTTTGGAATCGTCACAAAAACAGGTTGAGGGAAAATGGCCCCAAGGCTAATTTCTATTAAAATAGTCTGCTATTTTCAACTGCTCCCTGGCTGAGCTCTCCTTTAAATATTATAATGAAATCCACTTGAGAAATCATCTGAGGCACAGGTGCAAGTTAAGCTTAGTGCAACCCCGAGACTGATCGGCTCGCCTTCAACTAGCCTTCACTACTTGAACCCGATTCCCATCCCTGGACCCACTCAGCCTGGAATTACCAAGCCCCCCAACATCAGCCCCCTCGTTTTTCTCTCCTGTCCCTCAAACAGGGCTTCTGCTCCAAAGGTCCAGCCCGAGCACCGATTTAGGTGCTGAACTGAAAGGCTTCAGCACGAGACTTGCTAATTCCAGGACCCCGGTCCCCAGGCTTAGATCTGTGCTTTCCACCCTTCACTCCCAAACTGCCAACAACAAAAATGAAACAGGGATACCACCACAGATCCCACTGAGAGAAGAATAAGGGAACAGTGCCAACAACTCTAACAAATTTGACAATGTAGATGAAATAAATTTCTTCAAAAACACAACTGTCTAGGGGTGCCTGGCTGGCTCAGTCAGTGGAACGTGTGACTCTTGATCTCCGGGTGTGAGTTTGAGCCCTGCACTAGACTGATTACTTAAAAATAAAAATAATTAGGGGCACCCAGGTGGCTTAGTCGATTAGGTGCCCTAGCCTTGATTTCAGCTCAGGTCATGATCTCAGAGTGGTGAGATCTAGCCCCGAGTCAGGCTTTTTCCTGCTTAAGATTCTCTCCCTCCCTTTCCCTGCCCCTCTCCCCACCACTTGCACGCACACATGCACGCGCACACCCTCTCTCT